CAGTAACCTTTCACGTTTTGCAGTCATACCTGTACAGTTACCAGCAGGGTCATCATCCATATATCCCTGCTGGCAGACACAGTGGTAAGAGCCCAGTGTGTTAATGCATTCTGCCTGAAGAGAGCACTGATGGAGAACAGGCTGCTCACACTCATCCACATCTGCTGTGAGAAGGGCAGACATGTTCAAAGTTTATTTAGGAAACATAAAATGTAAAGTTATCAACTGGCATAGCAAATCAAAGAATACTCTTATCAGAATGAACCACAATGTTTGGCATTATGTGTCACCCTAACATCTAGTCATGCTCATGTATCTAAATATAAGCCCATTGAACTCAGGCGGTGATTTAAACTGGCACTGTAGAATAGAAAGTTGATTATCTCCAACAGGATCTCTGTGAAAGCAGCCTTTCAGTGCACGCACCATGGTGACCCATTTGCTGTCTTTTGTGAAAATGCAACCAATAGGATTTATGATTAATATGAGCGTGTGCCTGTGTAAGCCTGTGTGCGCGTGGGCGTGTGTGTTTGTGTGCGCAGTCGCTCTGGTGTTATTTTCCGCTATTGCAGGAAACATCCCACAGAAGACTGCCTCTCAAAGAGAAGTGGTGGGAGAAGGAAACCGTGGTGCGGCTGAGTCATTTTTTCCTGAACACCGTGTTCTCGGCTACATGAATCATTCTCAAAACTCTGCAAGAATGTCATTTCTCTAAAGGGAAAGAAAAAAAAGCCTCAAGTAGCTCAAGGAGTGAGAGAGAGAGAGAGAGATCAGTGGTGGCGTACAGATAGACGTGTCACTTCACCTTGCACTGTTACTGATGACACCTCCGGTATGTGTTTAAGAAGAAGCTGCAGCTTTGATGTTACGTTGTACAGTGAAAGAGACGAGTTGCTCAGGAGGAGCAGAGATGTGGCAACTCTGAAGGGATGGACGGGCAACGCACTGAGATAAAAGATAGAAACCTCAGACTCCAGCGCCCCAGTTATCTTTTAAGAGAAATAAAAACATATATTCTATAATTAGCTTGATTATGACACCATTAGCTGATAATATAACTTACATTATAGCAAGCTTTACAGATGATCCTGGTATTTAAAGTCAGAGTTAATGATTGGCTAATGTTCTAAACATCACAGCCATACAATGACGGTGGGTTATGTCACAGTGTAATTCACTGAATTGTATTCTTTTTTATAGAAAGGAAATGTATCACTGTCAGAAAAACTAACAATCTTGCAAATCCCTCCTAAATACATCATCCTCACTCTGAGGCACGGTGGCGGCAGTATTATCTTTTAAGGAGTTAATTGGTGTTAACTGGAGATAAACAAAGGGCAGTGATCAAAGGAAATCTGTTAGAGGATTCAGCTTCCAGCAGAGAAAAAAACCTGAACAAACAGCCAGAGCTACGATGGTAGCTTCATTTGTTAGAAAAAGACATAAATCATACTCTTCCAGTCAAATTTTAAGTTACCTGCAGCTTTAAGGGATTTTAGGAAGTACTGACAGCGCCTGCACCATCTTTGGTGTTAGTCTCTGCTGTCAGGTAGCAACAGACTATGGCAACAGTGTGCCGCTGTGACAGCAAATCCCTAAATGCTTTGCGTGGAGAGCTCTCCTCGCAAAGCATTCTGGGATATATCTGTCTCTTCTGATGCCTTTCTTTTCTTCTCATACACTTCGTAGATACTTACGACCCTCTGCCATTTTCAATGAAACCATAGCTCACCACAGATATATGCCTGAAAGTGTGTATGGGCACAAAAAAATAGCTAACAGGATCAGCACGATACGTAAACGTATCATCAGAATGATTGACAATTAAGAGGACCACTTATTTTGATGATCCACCTGGAAATAAAATATCATTTTCTATACCTTTAAAGGTTGTAGTTGTAACTTGAGAGATTGTGGACTGCAGTTTTTGGACTTCTGCAGGATGCACTATAAATCCTCTGAGTCTCAAATGCAAAGCAAAAGCAGGAACTGAAACCAGGAGTTGCGTTACCATTGCTTGCAATAATCTTGTGAGATTGAGAAGCCCATTTTCCTTGGACAGTTGCTGGTGATCCATCTTAACAGTCAGTGTTGTATTCCAGAGGCTTCCTTTAAACCGCAGATCTTGTTCTGGTCCAAAAAAGATTCAGTTTAAATGATGAGTTCATGCAAATTAAAAAGCAAAAAAGACCAACAAACTCTAACAGTATTTAAACGTTGAAAACTTAGTGGCTTCTTTGATTTGGATGTTTTATATATGTGAAATATGCAGACATAAAACTCAAAATCTGGAACCACACCAACAAAAAAATGAAATGTATCAAACACAATGACTACCTGGTGTGGAATTTGTAAGGATGCAATAATCAAAACACTTCAATTCTTTCACAATGATCCTGCTGAAGCACCTTTTTTAATGTATACATTTAATTGTGTATACATTTGTATACACAGAGTGTAGAGTCAAAGCTCATCAAATCTGAATAAACTGAAGGCAGACTAAAGATATGTGAGCTAAATGTTCAGCAGAATGATATAAGAGACCATAAAGGTCATAAAGAAGGCGGTAACTAAAGGTTATCTGTGCATAAAAAGTTATTTTAATTGCATGTAATCAGAGTGTAGCTTAGAAAGATTTAAAGGAATAGTACACCCAAAACATGATTAGCCTACATTTTCTACTCACCCCCATGCTGAACAACACTCTGGAGTACTTTTTTGATATCTCAAATGCATCTGGACATCTGGGAGGCTTCTTGCTGTCTGCTGACATTCAAATAATGGAGGTCTATGGCGCCCGAGGCAGAAAGGTCCATAAAAGTCCACAAAAAACATTTCAATATTCCTCCATACTGCTCGTCCAATGTATTCCAAGTGTCCTGAGTGGGTAGCGTCCAGAATTTACTCGAAACGAAGTCATTTAGAATGTTTTTAGAGCATAAACAGTAGTGTATAGGATTTCCTGAAAGTGTGCACATGCGCGATCACGACGCTACGGAAGCCGGCAGACCAAACCAGATGAAAGTGCGCATTCAGCGTCTGCTCTTCCAATAATGCAAGCGTAGAAGAAGAAATGTGCTGTTTACCTGAGCAAAGAAAGAAACAACGAAAGGAAAATGTCTGAGGACTTCAGTTTTGAGGCAGAGCATGAGTTCTTTGCCGAGCTGAATGTGCACTTTCATCTGGTTTGGTCTGCCACGGTTTCCGTAGCGTCGTGAACTCCCAGTCGCGCGCTTTCAGGAAATCCTATACACTACTGTTTATGCTCTGAAAACATTCTAAATAACTTCGTTTCGAGTAAATTCTGGATGCTACCCACTCAGGACACTTGGAATACATTGGACGAGCAGTATGGAGGAATATTGACACGTTTTGTGTGGACTTTTATGGACCTTTCTGTCTCGGGCACCATAGACCTCCATTATTTGAATGTCAGCAGACAGCAAGAAGCCTCCCAGATCTCCAGATGCATTTGAGATATCAAAAAAGTACTCCAGAGTGTTGTTCAGCATGGGGGTGAGTAGAAAATGTTAATCATGTTAATCATGTTTTGGGTGTACTATTCCTTTAAGTGCCTTGCAAAAGTATTCACCCCCTTAGATTTTCACTTATTTATTTATATTCCAAACTGTAATTTCAAAAATTGTTATTTTTTGTGATAAATTGAAAAAAAAAAATGTATATAAAAGAAGAATAAAACATTGTAACCTGGGATGCTGATGTTCATGGTATCATATGAACTGTCAGTTTGAAAACACCTTTTCTCAAATGGTGCAGAGGCTGCAACACCACTTAACAAGAAGCACTGCACCGCAGGACAACAAACGACGCAGAGACAACGCTGTTGAGGAAGACTAGTCACTCTGGGGTCATGAAAAGTTTTTTGATCTTTGATGCTCTCCTTTTTCACCTCACTAAAGTCAAAGTGGAAAGCATGACACCACAACAACCCTGCAAAGACAGACTCGCAGGCGGAGGAGATATAGAGTTCTACTGCAGAGACTGGAGTATCTGTCCTTAGAAACACAATGTACCGAAAGGTTGCTGGGGTTAATGGAAGAGCGACCAGAAAAAAGCCATCACTTAGTGGTGAAAACAAAATGCACATTTGGAGTTTACCAAAAGGCACGTGGGTGGCTCCCCTAATGCATGCAGCAAGGTGCTCTGTTTAGATGAGACCTTTTAACCAGCAGAACTTCTATGTCTGGCACGAACCTTATGCTACCATCATCTGAACAACAGTGTGCTAAATACAGGGATACTTCTGAACAAAACCTGAGATCTCAGACTGGGATGGAGGCTAAACCAAAGCACAACGCTAAGACAACAATCCAGAGGGGGAAACATAGTGTTCTCAAAGACCATACTGCAAAAAGTATCTGTCTGCACAAGTCGTACAATCTTAGATCTAGCCAAAAATTTGTTTTGGTCTTATTTTCAGATTCATATACCAAGAAAGAGTAGATTTTGTTAGTTTATTAATCTTCATTTGAGAAAATTCTACTCAAAGTCAGTGAACTAAGAGTTTAAAAAAGTAAAAATAAAAAATAAAAAAAACACTGGACTTGGACCACTGTTTTCAAGTTTAAAGATGTTTCGCTTCCCAGGAAGCATCTATGTTAAGAAAGAAAAAACAACCTTAAAAAGGGGATGGACTCAGATTTCAGCTTTCAAAAACCTACAATGCAGCAACTGAGTTGATTCCTTCCCGTTATCATCGCAGCCCCAACGCCTGTACAGGACAGCAGAAGACCTCGCCTATTCAGCCAGGCCAACAATTCCCTTAAACGACCCCGCTTGCAGAGACGTAGACGGGTATGGGACCTTGCAGGCTTACAAAAGAAGCCAAACGATCCCCATTCCATAGGGGTTGACTTGTTCGTCCCTTTCTATTTGCATGTTTTCAAAACAAAAACAAGGTTTTAATGTGCTACTGTATAAAACCTCGAACTTCCGTGATGGAAGCGAAATGTCTTAAAACTTGGAAACAAAATCCAGTGGATTGTTGTTGTTTTTTATTGTTTTGGAGTGACTATGACCTGGATGACTGGGAATCTTCACCAGCCCAGTGCAGTAAGATGTTTGTAACTGGTAAGATGTCTTTTGCCAACTATATATGATGATTTTAAAAAGTCATACCAAGTACGATTGTCTTACTGCATTGATTTAGAGTAGAATTTTGTCAAAGGAAGATTAAGAAACTAACAGAATCTACTATTGCTTGGTATATGAATCTCAGAACAAGATCAAAAAGACTTTTTGGCTAGATCTAAGATTGCAAGACATGCTGAGATTGACACTTTCTGCAGTGCAGACGTGAATCGAATTGAGTATATTTAGTTATACTTAACAGGCCAAAACCTTCCAATAGGAAAGGAGCCGGAGCTTTTTGGTTGTAAGGCATGGAAAGAAATGCAGAGAAAAAAAAAAAAAACACTTGACCAAAGAGGCCTGCAGCTCTAACTGACACAAACGATAAGTTAAGGAGGCTGATCAGCTATGGAGGCTGTGATTATCCATTATATATGACCACTGTTAGTAGTTTGCTTCACAATCAATTAAATCTTCTACCTTCAAAGCTGTAAGCTTGTTCTATAAAGGAAATAGTGAGAACTTTAACCTCTACAGTTGGTATCCAGGCCATGAGGCATTAAAACAGGAAAAATCCGGTGAAGGAACTAAAGGAGGACATACGTGATGACATGTGGTACACCATTTGTAAATAAATCACTACTAGTTCTAGGAATTGGAAAATTTACTGTTGGAAAAGGTTCTTTGATTTCTCTGAAGATAAAAAGGGCGGGGCCTCACAGTGCTGCAGTGGGTAGCGCTGCTGCCTTGCTGCAAGAGGGTTCTGGGTTCGATTTCTGGCCCGAGAGACTTTTGCATGTTCCCCTTGTGCATGCTTGGGTTCTCTCCGGGTACTCTGGCTTCCTCCCACAGTCTAAAACATGACTGTTAAGTTCTTCTCTAAATTTTCTTGGGTGTGAGTATGTGTGTATGGTTGTGTTTCTTTGTGTTGTCCATGTGTTGCCACATAAAAGACTGGAGACCTGTCCGGGGTGTACCCCTCCTCTCGCCCATAGACTACCGTAGATAGGCACTGGCCCCACAGCGACCCTGACAGAACTAAGTGGGGGAAAATGGGTGGATTGAAATGGTTAAAAATTGCATTGTTGTCCTTAAACCAAGCCTTCTGTGTGGGTCATGCATATATCTTCTGGTAGCGCTGTAATTTGTCTCAATTTTGGGAGGATGTTACCAAAAAAGCTGATAAGATATACGGGGTTTATAGCACCCCAAGAACAATACTGATATACTTTAGCTATGTAAAGGGAGCAGAGATTCTGTCAGGGTCTTGGTCTGTTTGTTCCTGTTTTCCTTGGTTATCCATTTGTTGTCCTCTGCTGCCCTCTTGTGTCTTCCCTTGCTCTGTTTCTCTGTCCTGCCAGCACCTGTTGCCAATTTCCTCGTCAGCTCTCTCTTTGTTTCTGTCCCCTTTAAAAGCCCTCCCTCTTCAGTTCCTGTTTGCTGGATCCTCGTCAAACATCTCGTCTTACTTCCCGTCTGTCATCTGCCTGCCTTGTCTCGTCTCTCCCTGACTTCTGGTTTTGGTTAATCCCTGATGTCTCCTGGTTCTGGTACGTCTGTAATTTTCTGTTGGACTCTGATTCCTGCCCCTAGATCTATTAACCTGAATAAACAGACTTTATTTCACCTCTGCCCACCGGTCTCTGCGTTTGGCTCCTCCAAACAAACCCCGCTTCATGACAGATTCAGAAGAAGGATCTTTATTTGTTTAAAATTATGTTGGCAGCAGCAAACCAAAGGCCACCATGTTCCAAACAAGTACCTCCTACTGTCAAAAGCTGGACGGACCATGTAGAAGAAATTCCCAGCATGGAAAGACTCACTTTTATATTAAGGTTCCAACAAGCAAAATATGAAGATCATTGAAAAAAAAAAACAGACAATATATATTAATGATCGCTGACCACTAAATCTCAAAGTGGTGAAAGGTGAATACTTTTGAAAGGAACACTGCTTACAGCCTGTTCCGTGGAGAAGACATCTCTGTTACTAATAGTGAGGCCTACTGCAAAAAATGGTAATAAACTAGTGAGAACTGTAAATCTGAAGATGAGGATTATTTAAAAGTAAATATTGGAGAATCTGCATGACTGCAAAAACATTCAGAAAAGGAGTAAAAACAAGAGTTTTTATCCTTAATTTGAGTAAGAAAGATGATGCACTTGAAAAAAGAGACTGCAGTTGTTTCTTTTTAATTTAAATCTAATTTAATTGGTAAAGTGTCTCACTTACCTCCTCAATTAAAATAATGCACTTATTTTAAGAAAAATGACTTACATTTTTTGCAGTGTAATGCTATCGTTACAGACAGTATAATTAGATTTACAACTAACACAGGCTAATCAAAGTGTCTTTGTTATGGACCCAGCCACTTTGCTTCACTTGCACTGTAAAACCTGAATGAAAAAAACCTTGCTTAACTTTGCTGTCCTTTCATAAAATGACGTCTCTTTAATAAACAGATAACTGCAGCTCTACGGTTTAATAACAGTACAAACAGGAGGTGCACTAACTTGTAGGATCGGTGCAGAGAAACTGTCCAAATCTCTGGCAGCATTTCTGCCAGCCTGGACAGTCTAAATCAAACTCACAGTCCGCAAAACTGGGTGACAATCCATCTGCAGTTGGACAGGATCCTGGCTTGGCGGTAAACTCATCACTCCTGTTTACAGCTTCATTCAAAGGAAATAACATGTTACAGGCCACGTATTAGCAGGGAGTTATTTGTAGCACTGCAGTTTCTGCTCGCCCATCTGGTGTCTTGCACACACTGAAAGGGCAGCGTGATTGCAGAATACAGAGCAGGATGCTACATCATCAGATTTATTAAAGGAAAAGACCAGATCACAGTTTAAAATCTCTAAAGCTCCAACCTAAAGCTGGATAAGCGTTACTGAGCGGACTTACATAGGGAACAGTAATGACCAACTTGATGATAGCCATCACAGCACCTCGTCACCTGCTCATTTACTGTCTTGTACTCAATCTGATGCATCATCTTGTAAAGGGTGATGGTACACGTCGTCCACGGTAACCATCCTCCACAAGGCTTCGTCACTCTATAAGGGACCGAATGTATCACCAAGAAACTCACAACTCTGGTCTCATTCTGGACACATAAATGGTAGCCGGAGGAAGACAAGCCATTCCCTGGAATACAATATAAACTGTTAATACAAAACTATTTCCTTTAATGCATGCGTTTAGATATTTAAAATGGCTATAAATATTCCTCACAATGTAAATCCTGTGTTGTCTTTTGGGCCTACCTTCATCCAGAGCGATCTGTGTCGAGCAGAGAAGCGGCAGGGCCAGGGACGCCCAGATTAAGAGGATCCATCTCATTTTTCCCAGCTCAGAATCCCGAACATGTATTCAGCCGCCACATAGCCAATGCGTGTTTGACTTTAAGATGCTAGCTCACTGCTCAGGGTGAATCCTCTGTGGCCTTGTCTTTCTCCACCCCTCGGTGCTGCATCAAGTCCCCAACGGACCGCAACGCAATCACAGCAAGGTGTTAATAAGATTATCAAAGTTATGGAAAACCATTTGGATCTCTTTAAATGACATTGGTGCTTCTTTTTTTGAGAATACAACATCATCCTGATAACTATTCAACCTCTCAAATCCACAAAGACTATAAACTAATCAGTTTCACAAAGCAAGACTTGGTTGGGCTTTCTTTAATTTGTAAATAAATCAAGGAAGTTGTTGTTTCTCTAACTGCTGGACGATGCCAGTAAACATGTTTATGGTACCAGAGAGAGACAGAAACACTCGATAGGAGGAGTCAAAGTCCCTGATGAGCGCGTTTCTACACAGGTAACCATGGAGGTGCATGCTATGCTGCAGTCAGGAACAGCCAACCCGTCATTAATGTCTAGAATGAAGGAGAGAAAACTTCCCTGCCATTTTCAGACCCATGTGACTGCAAGTGGGGCAAAAAAGATGATAAAGACTCAATAATCATCATATTGTAACAATTGTTTACATGCATCTTGCACTACTCTGCTTGACTGAATATTGATTTGCACTGCCGACTGTTTATTCACAGCACCAATTGTTTACATATACATTTGCAATAACGTACTTTAACTGTAATATGCAATGTACCTTCCACTGCACTTTAATTTAGATAGCTTCTGTCCAAACTTTATTTATTCATTTTATAGTAAAGTCCATCTGTATATATGCTATTGTAAATAACTGTAAAAACCCTTTTTATAGTAATATCCACCTGTATATTATATTAGGTAATTATCCAGCTGTAAATTTAGTTCATAACACTAGTTATCTATATATTATATTCATCTATTAGTAAGATTCTGTTTATAATGGTTTTAATTTCTATACTTATTCAGTTGAAACCCATGTCCTGTATTTATGGAACCAATTATTTATCCTGCACTTGCTGATATTGCACTTCTGGTTAGACCTAAACTGCATCTCGTTGCCTTCTACCTGTACCTGTGTAATGACTATAAAGTTGAATCTAATCTAATCTAATATTTATAGTTTAAATGGAACATCACTTGAGGTAAGTAAGTAAAGTTTATTTATATAGCCTCTTTCAAAGACATAGAGGTCACAAAGTGCTTCACAAAATTAAAATACATTTACAGCCACAAAAGACATGGCCATAAAACAACCCTTAATCTACTGGAATTAAAATGCTTTCTTAAACAAATTTCAGTTCACTCTTAAAAACATCAACAGAATCAAGTAAGCACAAGGAAAGAGGGAGATCGTTCCAGAGCGCCGGCACGACCGCCTGAAAGGAGCGATCTCCCCTGGTCCTGTAACGAGTACGAGGGACCATGAGCAGGTTCTGATCCTGAGACCTCAGCCTCCGAGATATAAGGACACAACAAGTCTGTAATATAGGAGGGAGCCTGACTATGAAAGGTCCAGAAGGTCAGCACCAGAATTTTAAACTGGAACCGAAAAGAGACTGGGAGCTGACGAAGAGTTTTTAGAATCAGCGTAATATGAGCCCTTCTGTTTGAGGTCTGATCTCTCTCTCATCACCTGAAGGCTTCTTTATCCAATGCTTGTAATGATGCGTTAAAAATGACCCTAATTAAAACTTAGACCACTTGAGTCATTAAACAATAATTACCGGGCAAATGCTGAGTCGCTGCACCGGGATGTAAGGCTTTAATACAGAGTCAACCAATGCATGCATTCAGTAAGAATCACCAGCACAGTAAATTGAAGGTGAATTTTTGCTGATACATCCTGAGTAACGATACAGTCCTCATCATCAGTGCTGCACCTGAGCTTAGCCTGCCTATAATGCACTGTAGCATAATCAGCTTTCCAGGAAAAGGCCTGCAGGCCTGGCAAGTCCCCGCTGGATATAAGCACTTACACAACCTGGGTGCTGTACCATAATGACCCAGCTTCGTTTTATTTGCAGACCTAATTAGTTTCTTTGGGGTTAGAAGACGTGTCATTGCATGAACATTACCTTCTCACTCCCAAAAGTTTCCACTTTCCTGTTTAAATCTCACATGTTTCTGATGTAGATAATTGAAACCAATCAATGTTTTTAATTTATTGACAAGAAAATAACTAAGTATTATTTTTAAGCAGCCATTTTTTACATTTCTGCCTTTAAACTAAGTTATTTGTTTGTTTTTTTGTTTGTGGAACTGCGCAGGATGCTCTGCACACTAATTTTGGAGGAAGCTTTAAACCGATACATCATGGTCACATTTTTTACATACCAAAAAACCTGACAAGCATGTCGCCGTTCAGAGCCATAGATAAGCCTTGTTATGACATTACATTATAGCTGGAACTAATTTCATATAGTGAAGAAAATTGGTTGGTATGGAAGCTCATTTCAGCCACTTCAAAAGACAGAAGGTACATGGTACGGTCATGATTATGTGATTTTAAGTCATTATTACCAGATACTAAGTCATAATTTCCACTTCCAGGTCATAATTATGAGATTTAAAGTCTTTGTTATAACATACTTTGTTTCTCATAATTTTCAGAATCAGAAGAGCAATAAGAGCAAAATAAGGTATATTATAATAAAACAGAATAAAATAAATAAAAATAGTAAAATTACAACCTTGCCATATAAACAGTGTAAAATAGGATATAAGAATAAAAAAGGATCACATTATAAACAAGGCTTAGACTAACTTTATTGTCATCTTGTGTACGAAATTTTGTAAAAAAAAAAAAACATGGTGCAAAAAAACGCATTGTGTGATGTGGTGTGATGTAGACTGTTTTTTCAGATTTACAGTTTTTTCAACATTCAATTTTTTTTTTTTACTTTTTCAGCTTTTAACCTTCAGCCGTCTGATGGCGGTGGGAAAAAAAAGAAAAAACTGAATAAAAACAATCGCCAGTATTCTCAATTTACAATGCTGATCAGTACCAAATGACATTTAATTGTACGTGACCGTGTTATTGCGCATAGTGAAGTAATTGAATAAATAAATAATAAATGAAAGTCAGAGAGATGTATTATACAGATTGATGGCCACAGGCTGGAATTACTTCCTGTGGCGGTCTGTGGTGCAGCGTGATGAAATGAGTCTCTGACTTAAGGTGCTTCTGTGGGCGACCAGCACATCATGAAGCGGATGTGCAGAATTGTCCAGCCTGGATTTTATCCTGGCCAACATTCTCCTCTCTGACACTGCTGTGGGGGACTCCACATAGCGGGGGGGGCACAGACTTTGAGCACCCGGGGGCTCACAGGATCCAGGCCTGCAGACTTGCCTGATTAAAGCCTGCTCAGCTGCCTCCTGATATGATCAGGGGTGATGGTCAGTGTGGATGTGGCAGGAGGGGGGGGTGCAGGTGTTTGCCGGAGTGTGCATTCAGTCTGGGAGCCGGGGGAGGAGGTGTGAAGGGGGCTATCACAGGGAGATGAGGGGCTGGGGGTGAGCTGGGTTCACAGAGTCAAAACAGAATCATCTCGTTGGCCACGCCCACACTGCCTTCTGGTCCTCTGCTTCTGGATGGTCTGAAACCAATGATGGTCCTCATTCCACTCCAGCTTCCTCCTTTATGTCCTCCTCTTCTCTAATCTTTGCTTTCGGCTCCCTCTGTATTGTTTGCACCTCCTCATTGCTGCCAGCTCTAAAAAGCCGTCTTCTTACTATTAAGAAGGATCTTTTAGTCCTTTGTCACCCATGAATGGTTATTTGGGTAACAAAGGACAGTATCGATGCAGAAGTTAATGTAATCAGGGACACACTCTCTGAGCCCATTGATGTCCTCGCCATGTGGCTCTCATGACTTTGAATGTCATAATTGTGCCCCAAACAACCTCAGCAGCTCACAGGTTTCTTCTCGTTAAAAGGGGGTTTTTCCTCTTCACTGTCGCTACATGCATGCACAGTGTGGGAGATTGCTGCAGTGAACTCCTGTCATCAAATACTCAATGCAATCAGCTTGTTTTCCTAAGATAAAAGCTTTTTACTCATTGATCTCATTGACTTTGTAAGTCATATATAAGCCATAAAATTATATACATTACATATATTTATTGTGAATTGGTGCAATAGGCTATAAATTGAATGATTATGACTTTGAAATTCAAAATTCTTTCATAAATGTCATATTTATTATGTTTAGTCAGATATTGACTGCCATACATTGGACTTTCTTGTCAAATAACCTTTTTTTTAGGATAGAAAATAAAATAAAATCTTAAATAATATTGCAAACCCGACAAACTTGTGAAGCTAACTAGTAGGAATTTAATTAGGCAGCACTTTCAGTTTCATTTAACCCTTACTAGATTATTGAATTTTGTCAAAAAATAAAGTTATCAAAACAACCAGCTGGAATGTCGTGAAGTATCTCTTTAAATTAGCCCCCCGTGAGGTCCTCCGCTCAGCCCGCCTCTTTTCACTTAATCAGCCAATCTGCGCGCGGCGCACGTGACGAGCAGTCTTTGCATGACCTCATCCCTGGTGTGGGATGACGTCAAATTCAAGATGGATGGAATCACGACCAGCAGACCGAAAGCCACACAACACTGAATAAAGTCCTGGCTGCGTGGAGTCGAGAGCGTTTTCACGACGGGGCGGGTAAGTGTGGACAGGCTAGAATGTTTCTCGCGTGGATTCCCCACGCTGAGCTGGTGTAGAGAGCTGAGGCTTTTTTCCTTTTTCCGCGCTGACGTAACTCTAAAAGGGGATTGAGCTGCTGTGAAAGCCGAGCGGCTCCAGCCTGTGGCGGGCTGTCAGGACGGGCAGGTGGGGGGTTCTGCTCCGGTTGGGCGGTTGATGCTGGAAAACGGTCCGTGGAACCGAACCGAGCGGACCGGAGCGGCTCCGGTTGCTGGGATTAAAAGCCGCGTCCGGAGAAACACGCTCAACTTTTCCGCTCCCCCCTCCCTCTCTCTCTCCTCTGTGGAAGGAGCTGCTGAGAGC